TCGCAGCTTGGAGCAACGAAGGTTTTTCTTCGTGCGAACAGAGGAGAATATCACATCTTACCGAGCCGAAGGAGGAGGAAGGGCAGAATCATAGGAAGGGCACCAGCGTAAAACGTCAAAGCGGAAAACGGGTCACAATATCCAACCCGCGGCCACAAACACCAAAAAAAAAGCGGAACAGTGTCGCGCCGCTCCTCTATGGCCGCCCTAAACGGGGCCTAAATTTGATCTTGTATTGATTGGCTTTCCGAAGACGTTTGTACTGCAGTTATTAACTGTATTTAGTTTGTTAGTTGTTAATATTAATCAATTTCTTTTATGTTAACTTTGGATGTATAAGAAATTTTATTTGGAATGATAAATCTAATTTTTTGGGGAAATTAAGATGGAGGAAATGCAGATTCGAAATTCGTATAAATAGTTACATATATTGAAGAGGTTTTGTGAGTATTATTATCAAATTCTTCATCATTAGCACTTGTTCTATACGATTAATAGCCCTGAATGAGTTAATTATGTCAACATTTTCTACCAATAATAAACATGCTGTGTCTCAGAAAATTTATGATGATAGAGATGCATTAACATTTTATTATTGTACAAAAATACAAAGGAAAATCTGAAAGGAAAAAATCTTGAGGCTTAGCTTAATTTAAATAAATTTACTATTAAGATGTAGGTCATAGGAATTTGAGTGCTCTTGAACAATAAGCAGTAAAATTATAAGAATGAGAAAAAATTTTAGAGAAGTGACAATGATCTGGCTACGATAATATTGGAAGATTAGAAACGAGTTTTGTGTTGCTGTCCCGATGATGACAGTAGTGGTCTAGTGACAATCGCAATATCTACAAAGACAATAAAGGAACAACGACAATGGCTGTGGTCTAACACCAACTGCGTAGTAGATAGCTGTCTGAGAATGACGGTAGTGGTGGTGGCACAATGACTGTTGCTTCAGTGGCTCGACGTCAGTTCGGTATGTGGTCGCTTTATACATCTTGATATTTTCGAACGAAGAAATTAAAATCGCCCGAAAATAGGGGGGCAACTGATACGCCACCAACAAATCATCATAATCCAGCACGAATCTCGATGCAATATTTTGAGCACGAACATTCAAACTTCGATTGCGAGTCATCCGGAACTCCGATTTCAGCAAAATTATAGTCAAACTGATTGGCTCGATGAAACGGACCTAATGATATAAAAGTTAGTCCAATCCGAGTCAAATCAGGCTCGGATCAAGTCATTAAACCACTACTACATGATTTTCGGAGGCATTTGAAAGGTCAAACAGATGTCGAATCTAGCGAGTTCATAGTCGAATCGAGCATCTCGAAAAGACGAATCCAACGAGCCCAAGATTACTCAATTCCGACATCGTTAAGGCACTCAAATGTCCATCAAATGTCATCTGATCAAGGG